CCCTAGTCCCTCTTTCCTTCTGAACAGTCACATTTATGAGTGGCTCTGCTCTTCCTAGCCATTGGGGGGAGGGGTTCCTAGGGATATTCCTGGCTTACTCTGCACCCTCATCCCTTCAAGAATGTGGGCACATGCCCCAGACACACTCACCACAGCCACTGCTAGGCTTTGGGAAGCAGAAGCCAAAAGAACCGGAAGCTAATCTGGTGGAAATGCTTTCAATCATCAAAGGGAGCCCCGGTGTACTGCAGAGGGTTAATCTCAGAAACAAAAAATAAATTCTTTCACCTCAAAATTCTCCCTAATAGCACAGTGTCTTTGATTAAAAATGCTTTATGTCTTTTGCCAGTTCAAGTGAGATAATCCTGTGTGATTGCAATCAGGTCCTGTGATATAAAAATCTCCCGCATTGCCTGTGTTTATGGAGGGGGCCCTATTAACAGCATGACAAAGAATAAATGTGCACGGGAAGTCACCTGCCTTATGTATCAGTTATCAATAATAGACAGTTTTTCACTGGTGGGACCGTTTAATTGAGAAGTTCAGATTTACATTGTTAGTGAACAAGGTAATTTCTTATAATCCACGAGTTAAAAACAATGACCAGCAATGCTGCCGAAAAATTTTGGAAGACTTTTGCTGTCCGAAGTGACAGCAAGACACTCGTAGACTTGTCTCGGATTCTGCCCACTGCCTTCCATGATTTGTTTCTGGGTAGTGTTTGAACACTTTGCAGTGATGGTATCGCTTAGAGGGCAGGGACTCCAGCCGGCCCAAATGGAAGAACACAGGGTAAATCATGGCGCTCTGATTGCAGATCCTGGTGTCTCCTGCTGCCTGGGATTGAAAACAATCTTGTGGGGCCCTGGGGACCTCCTCTACCTGAGACATGTTGGCTTCAAGGAGCATGGGCTCCTGATAAGAGAATAAGCAGGGCCAATTCTCTCGCCATCGCCCACACTTATTCCCCCTTCCACCAGGTCACCACACACCAGGATGGCGTTGCCACAGCCAGCACCACGCTCTTGGACTTCCCAGGCCCCAGAAACATGAAAGACAGAGTTATTTATAAATGACTCAGTCTCCAGGATCCTGATATAGTGACAAAACACAGAGTCACACGTGCTCACCAAGCCATCTCAAAACCAAAGGATTCACTCCATGAAATTCCAGAGGTTCCCAACACAGGTTGGGAGCCATTAACACCCAGGGTACAGGAAGGCTCTGGGCTAAGTGTCTGAACTCTCAGAACACACTAATAAGAAAGGCTGGCACGAATGGATTTATGATCTCGGAGGAGAAAATTCCTCATTTTGTAACATTTCCTTCCTAGAACCTTCACACCAAAATATACTTCTCATTGATCTGTCCACTGAAAACAAACTCCTAACAAACTTTGGTGCATGAGAGCTGCTGAACGTGTAGCTAGGAAAAATCAGACAAAAAGAAAACCAGGTAAGGGAGAAAAGTTAAGGGGATTCCAACAGACGACCATGAGGGCAGAAGACATAGGTAATAAGTAGTTAAAGGGAAAAGCTAGGGGGAATCACATTCATGCAGGGCAATGAGCCTCAGTGTACCAGGAAACTGACTCAAAAAAAGGTAAAAAACAGAAGCCAAAGGTCACCACATTTGTCAATTTCCGTGCAACAAATCCTCCAACATGGCCAGTTATTGCTACCATCAGTTTGGAAGTGGCTCACAAGATTCCTGAGAGTTTAACAATTTGCCCTTCAGAGGATCTGTGAGCTGACTCTAGCACCGGCTGACAAGAAGTGACACTGAGTACCCTCAGTGACTGAACCCCATAGGACCCTGGGGACATGACGTTCCAGTTATTGGATACTTCCCATTTTCAAGGGCTGTCTTTTCTGTGAAGGAAATGATCACTGTTGCCCCTCCAGGAGTTGGTATTCATGTCCTGTGAGCCCACAGGGCTCTCTGAGTAAGACTTGGAGTAAGGGAAGTGGGTGCCCCCTGGGCTCAGGCACATACTCCGCCCCCGTGCCATCTTCTCCTATTAGCCAGGCCACTTGAGATTTAGGACTGGGAACAGGGGTAGGAAGGCCAGGGACAACAGCCTCCTGTTCTTACTCCATGGGGCCTCAGTTCCTCCCATCTGCACCTCCACCCTCAGTCTTTCTGTGGAATAAATATGGTCTTTGGCCCCAGCTTGTAAGTAAGATTGGAAGCTGAAGTCCAAAATAAACTAACATCAACTGTCAGCCAGGTCAAAGAAAACCAGGAAACACTTGGCACAAACACAAGGCCTTCAAGGGTTATTTTCCATGGTGAATTTGCACAAATTTGTCACGGGCCTGATCACAGAAGGAGTAAGGGCGCAGGGGATCTCTGTCCCTGGCTCTTGCTGCCCTTTACAGCCAAGGCCAGGCCTTTGTGCTCTTGCTTCAGCTCTGTTACTCTCGGGAGACTGACGGCCAAGATGAGTCACTCAAACCCTGTGTGCTGTGAGTGAGCAACACAGCCTGATCAGCCGACAGGGATTTCAGTTTGCTGAGTCATCTGCCTGAGGAGAAGCTGCAGCCCACAAAGGGGTCTACTGAGTCAGTGCAGGTGCACAGAGGGGCAGTGGGCGCTCAGTGCGCAGGGACCCCACCCCCAGCACCCAGCCCCACGGCCTTGTGCCAAGGTAAGTGTTCTTCCAGATCTTGCTCAGTGGCCAGGGTTCCCATGCATTCGGAGTGAATCTTGACTTTGGGGAGTGACCCTAACACACACATGAACAGTGGCTGGTATGCAGCTGCTCCTGCCCTAGCTGTGACCAAGACTCACCAGGAAATGACCCTGGCTGTCAGCATAATACATGAGGCATTTGATGCCTCTTACGTGATTACTCCAAGTTGAGAAATGGACTTCCTGTTTTCAAATTTCAAATCTTGAAGTATTTCAAGTAATTGAAGTAATTAACCAATAATAAAAGAGATTTGCTAACACCAGGCCAAGTTAACTCTTAAAGCTGGGAAACTGACTGGGCTGCTAAGCCCCTGAAAAATAGTTGCTTTACAGTGCACAGGATTTTAAGGATTCTTTGAAGAATCATGAATGGCAAGACAATGACCATTTCGCCCCCAATAATGCCATCATGTGGATAGCATTTTAGCTATATCCTCCGATAGCACAGTGGCCATTCAGGCTTCTAGGTATCCACCCTCTCCCTGCAGTTTTGTTCCTCAGCAAATCCTCCCTCTCTATGCAGGCTTTATTTACACGTCACTGCCTGTAGGAACAGTGGCTGGGAACCAGCCATCTTTGCTCTGCCATCGTCATGTCCCCAGCCGATGCACGTGATGCATCAAGAATTGATTATAGTTAAATGATGTTTTATGAACTGGCTAAGAAATTATGCTGGAAGGAAAAAACACACACATTTTACTTCAAGTGTGGTTTTGTCACCTGATCTATAGTCCATTTCAAAGTGGAAAGCAATATTTCAGTTTTACACTGAAGAAAGCATTTCAGAAGCCTGAAGGCCTGTGTGTTCTACCCAGGGCCATGGGCAACAGGAGACCCCTGGCAGCTTGAAATGCGGCCTCACAGGAGCCTACACTCTCAATGTTATGTGTTTTCATGGATATTTTTCATGACTCAATTCCATGAGCACAGAGATGAAGATGACATAGAAACAGCTATGTCACCTGTGCCACCTGCAGGCCACACAGTCTGACTGAAACCCATGCATATCCAACCATCACACACACTTGTGCACACAGTGATTACCACAGCAGTGTTTGCATCCCACACAGGGCACAGATGTGTGTGCCTATGAGCAGACGTAATTGTTTTTTGCTTAATTGTTGAATTTAGGTTTTTGTTATTTTGCAAATGAGTATATTTAAGAAAGGAAATTTTGTTGCTTATATACATTTACTGTGTTGAATATGTTCTATGCCGCCCAAGACAATTCCTCCTCACCTATTGTGCCCAGGCATCAAAAGTCTGAACACCCAGGACCTAAAAAGCCTGCCTGCTTTTTGCCACGCCGCACTAAGAAGCAGAGCAAAGATGGCTGGTTTCCAGCCATTGTTCCTACAGGCAGTGACGTCTGAATAAAGCCTGCATAGAAAGGGAGGATTTGCTGATGAACAAAACTGCAGGGAGAGGGTGGATACCTAGAAGCCTGAATGGCCACTGTGCTATCCAAGGAGAATGTGTTATTCTGTACACATAGAATATATACAAGGGGCAGGACTGCAGTATGTTACAAAGAATAGGCCATCATTTCTCAGAGTTTTACAACTTTAATTAATGCCCATTAATATCATATTAGTATTACTGGGGTTTTGTGCTAATACACAATCCAGTGGAGTGAGTAAGCCATTTAGCAAAGGTATTTTGGCAAAAATAGCAAAGAATTTTAAAATGAAGTTCAAGGACTTCAACTGGTTTTTGAAGAATTAACATGCTAGGAAGAAGGGTGGAGTGACCAGCTTTGATGATTTTACTTTTCTTCATTTCCTTCTGCGTCTGCCATAGTAGGATCCTTAGTCAAATATAACCATAAGCAGGCTCAGCCTGCCCTGCCTGAGGACCAAAGCCAATCCTGCCGGCCAGCCTGTGCTGGTACCATGCCAGCTTCTGATCCCTGGAGAGGACACTGTTAACCCAAACTTTTCTCAGCAAACCCATGAGAACCAGGCACTCCTGCCCGGAAAAGCCCAGGTTGTATAACAATTTACCGTCCTCCACTGTTATGCAAACTTGCAGGGAATGATGAAATCAGAATGGAATGTGCTTCAACTTTTGTTTTCCTGCCTGGAAATTCAGCCCAGATATGATCTATAAACTAAGAGTGATGATATAGCCACAACACTGATCAAGATAATGAAGTCATTAAAGTGACAATTTTGACCCTGAAAAGCTATAGTTTTTTCTGTATCTACATTTAGTGTTTAGTTTTACAGTTATTCAGGTGAACAAAACACAAAAATGGTACACAATAATACTTAACAACATGTGATGTGTTATGATATAATCTTTTCTTTAAAAAATTATATTGTTTTATTCCACTATATTTTAAACAATGGTCACAGCCAACACAATTAACTTCATGACATTCTAATGGGACACAACTCAAAATCATAAAGTATTTTCACCTCTTGGTGTGGAGTTAAATTTTGGTTAATCCTTTTAGAATGCCTTCCCAGATACCCTGTGAGCCAGCAGAAGGGAGAAACATGGGCCAGAGAGAATTTCCAACTAAAGACCCACCCTGACCTAGGGCTGCGATTCTCTGCTACATCAGAGCAATTTGATGTTAGAGGATAGAAGAAAGTCTGCCAGTCTTCTGTCACAGTAATGGAACTTTGGAGACTGAGTAATTTACAGGGAAATTTGTCTCTCACTGTTCTAGAGATAGTGAAGTTCAAGAGTGTGGTACTGGCTGGGATGAGGATGGTCTGGTGAAGGGTGACAAAGCCAGATGGCAAAGCAGCACGGGAGACAGGAAGAACTGGCCTGCCTCATCTTGTTATCAGAAGTTTCCAAGATAAGGCATTAATTCATTCAAGAGGGCGGGGCCTCCAACTCCTGATCACTTCTTGAAAGCCTGGTCTCTCCACACTCTTGAGTGATGATGAAATATCACCATGAGCTTTGAGGGGGAGCCTCAAATTGCAGCAGAGCATCTCTGTGATGCTGTGACTTTCAGCACAGCTGGTTGTCCTCGCCTCTGTATTTCTGTTTGGCCTCTGCCCCAGAGCAGACATGCCACTCACTGAGCTAACAGGTGACCCACTAAGGAAGCATAGGCAAGAGAGAATTTGTGTTTGACCAGCTTGATGACAGCATGAAGCTGGGGTGCAACATTCAGTAAGGAAACATTCAGCACAATAAATAGAAGGTATATTCCACACAAAATCAGATTTTAAAAACCCACAAACTTGTAAATGTTTGTAATGCCATGAAAGATCTTGAGTATCTGGTCATTGAGAGGTTTGCTTAACTCTTTTTCAGTGAAAAACCAGGAAGAAATAAACATAACATGTAACTTTGTCAATTATTTGTTTCTTTACTGAATCAGACATAATTAATGGATTAACTACACCACCACTGTTCAGTTTTATTTACAAAACTTGGAAGCAAAAGGTTCACCAAGCTTCCAAAACTTGATCAACAGCAGTGCTGGCTGAGCTGCCTGCCTTTCTGCAATTCCAGAGCACTGGCCAGTCTCAGCAGATTTATCTAGAACCTGTTGTAATTACTTTGTCTTTCTGCCCTGTTCCTCCAGAGGAACAAACTGTTTGTTCCATAGTATCTAAAAATCACCCACTCAATAAATGATAAAAAAAAAAAAGATGTTTTCAGGTGTTTCCTGTAGGGAGAGATTGTGGTTAGTGTGAACCTTTTTGGTAAGGACTATTTTTTATTGCTGAGTTAAGAAACCCAGCTGAGGATTAATTAAGACATCGCCTCTTTAATTCTATGAACTGGTTCTCATCTCTCATAAAAGGTGCGTGATAAGACACGCACCTTTTCCAGCATTACTAACAGCAGGATCTCTGGGGTACAGCTGAGCTCATCACATGTGCAGGGCTACAGCCAGGTGAACAAGTTGTTTCAGCCTCAGAACATGAGGTGTCCAAGGAGAGCCAGGTAAACAAGTGTCCATGATGCTGACAGTGGCGCCATTCCAAGATACTGATGTTGAAAGTAGTTCTTCTCTTTGTTGGGGGCAGCACCAGTGTTCCATTTGAAGGCTCTAAAGGGGAGGATGTCGGAGTCAGTAGACCTACGTGGGACAGGTGGATGGCAGATATTGTAGAAAAGAGGAGGAGGAAGACTTAGCTATGTCCTGCATATCATGAAATATAACTATTATGTCATTATATAAACATTTTGTGATATGAGTGACTGTTTGGAGGGTGTGGAGGGCCAGGCAAAGGGAACACATGGCAGGTCCCTGACAGTTCTCAGATGTTCTTATAACTGACAGAGAGACTAGAGACGCTTGCTATATCCATGCAGCTCTTAAAATTCCCGGTGGGAGGATGGTAGAGGATGAAGAGATGAAGACAAGTGTTAGAATGTGGAAAGCTGAGGTCAGGGGGAGCCCCCTCTCCTGTTGGGACAAAGGAACTGCCCAACTACAGCAGACTGTTTACACACTCTGTGGGCTGGTGTCAGGTGAAACCCCTCTGCCTGACAACTTGTTTACCCTAACCCTAATTAACCTCTTTGATATACTGTGAACCTTTAGTTCACTAACATTCTTTTGAAGTTCCTGAATCCTAGCCACTGCCCCCAAACAAGAAGCCCAGGCATCAGCTCTGACCACTCAGGAAGCATCTCATTCTCCTACTTTACAGATTTCTTCATCCTCAGCATCTCTCTACATCCTCATTTTTTCTCTATTTTGTTTTCGGCGAAAACATTATTCCACCCTGTCACCATTTGCTAAATATAAGCAATCTGTAAAACCAATTACTTAACCTTGAGTATGGAAGTAAAACCTTATGTATGGCTTTCTCTTCACATTTATTTGCTTTATTTTTGTGATGGTAAAATAAACTAAAAATATGTCACCTTTGTGATAGTAAAAATATTTGTATTATTGTACAACTATCACTACCACCCATTTCCAGAACTCTTTCATCTTGCAAAACTCAGTTCTAATCTCTAATACAATTTCTGCAATAGCCAGTCTTCAATGTGCGCCTGTCTGGCACCCACTTCCCACTTTCTTGAAATCCTCACCTCTGAAATCCTCTTCTTTTCCATCAAAAGTCCTCACCTCTGCCGTTGTCAGTTCAGGTGGTTGAGATGAGAGGACTACTTCCAAATTTCAGGAAGCTGCGACTGGAGAGCACTGTTGGCTGCCCCTTCCTGTCTGTGCCCTTATTCCCACCATGATGGGCTCTGAGTGAAGCAAATGACAAGCTTGAGCAAATCAGAGACAAGCCTGGTCATGCCACAGTAAAGGAAATGGGACAGTCCTGGTGCTTGCCTGCATGCCTAAACTGCAATGGTAAGACTCTGGCGCCTTGACCCGGGGAGTACCTTTCTAAGATCTGAGCTGGTGCAGACGAAAGTTTTCTGAACTCCACAGACATAAACTACTAGGGATATTGCTAGAACATTCTCCCTCTAGTGCAGAGCCAACACGCAACAAGCTGTAGCTAATAGGAAGTCAGGGGGAGGGTATTCCATCAGCACAGCCTTCAGGCCTCCTGTTGTCACCTGATATGGGATATCAGGGTCCCTAGATTTTGCAGGTGTATCAAATCCTACCAACCAAATGTGGAAGCCAACAAAAACTACAAGGTGAAATGAAGCATAATCACTTGGGCTATTTTAGAGATAAGGAGAGTTGCAGTGGCATAGCCTACCACTTGGGCATCTCACAGTGCAACTGGCACCTGCTAGAAGAGAAGGGATGTGTTTTTGAGGATAGGTTTCAAAACACCTGTGTGTCTAAAACTTTCTGAAGTGCACCATGAGGCTATCAGGGGTTAAACCACAGAAAGAGGTATACTAGGAAAAGAGGGGGAAAAAACCCTTTTCTACTTCCTTTCTAACAAATCTGATTTTTAATTAAACATGTCCTAGAGGTCACACAGCTAACTCTACAGATAACAAACTATTTCAAGCTTCTGTTCTACCAAAGATAGCCAGCAGGAAGCATGGGATTTTTGACCAACCATTTCCCGATGAAAAAATGCTCCAGGAAATTTTTCTGACTTGGACAGGGTAGGTTGCTGCCATGCCTGAGCCTGTCGAGGAGACTGGGGGGTGGAACACAAATAGAAAGGACTGTCCTCTCCAGTCTTAATGGGGCTTGCAGCTCATTCTGGGAGTCTGGAGCAGGATCACCTTACCTGAGCCACTCAGAATGGGAAGAAAGAGAGATGCCAAGAAAAAGAAAAGCAGAGTCCTGGTTTCCAAAAGAAAACCAGGATCCTCCTATAAAAATTCAAGGGAAGGGGCTCAAACCAGCAGAAAGACAGATGTACTAGAGGCAGGGCACAATGGATGGCATTGCAACTCAAAGGCTTTGAGCATGATTTTTGGGGATTGCCAAAGGGGATTGCCACACTCAAACATGTTCATTTCCCCCTCAAGGTCACAGTCATTCATGCTACTCAAAGCAGTCATTGCCACAAAATATTTGGCCAACTGTGCCAGCCCTAGCTTAGGGGCCATGGCAAGAGCCCATTGCTGAGCCTCAGCCAGTGCCCCGAGGGACCGGCAGCTCTGACTGACAAGGCATGGTGAACAGTGACAACAAAACTGAAGATCCACCAGTGCACCAACAGAAAAAGGAAGCATCGACCAGCACTTCGTCTCAGTGATGCTTCCTTCTTTCTAACTGCTGACTGCTTAACCTTGACATTTAGAAATAGAAACCTACCACCCAGGTCACAATGAACCATTAGCTAGAGAAGACACTAACATAAAGAAGAATTGGATTACTTTGGTACAACATCATTGCTTTTTAATGTTTCTAAGAAAGTAAATATGAGGATGCTAGGGATTAAAATATGAGGACTGATATATGGTAAGAGGAAAACCTTTCAATATTTCATTTGTGGAAATTATCATTTATTACACAAGTCTACAAACCAGAGACTGTCTCTAGGCTTATTACCTTCTTGAAAGCTACTGTATATTTTTTAAAGCTGGATTTACTTTTGAGTATTTTCTCCGTCAGGGTTTTGTATTGGGTCTGAAAGTCATTATAGCCAATCTCTTTCATTTTCTTAAATTAGAAGAATAGAGTTCTGGGCCACCTCCAACTAATGCTAAAGGCAAAATATTTTCATTCTTAACCCAAAAGGAGTCCACAGAAAATGGGGAAAACTGATCTCAGCAAATTGGAGCCGACTGCAAGGCACATCGCCTCCAGGGTGGAGAATTCTTTTCTGTTGCCTGAGCTGGAAAGGAAAGCATGTCAGTTTAGAAACACTGATAAGAAAATAGAGATTTTAATCAAATTAAGGATATTGTACTCACGTCATAAAAGAAAGCTTTTGCTGTTCATGAAATAAAACACTTGCAGACTTCTGAGAAGTTTGCTATTTTTAAGATTTATGAAAGGTGAAGTTGAACCAGGAGATAACAAACATTAAAAACAAACAAATCTCCTGAAGCTGTGAATCATTTACCTCAGAAAAAACCTTTGCTGTGCAGTAAGCCAGCTGCCTGAAACTCCAATTCTGAATTTGATTCGCTGGGAGACATAGACAAATCACTTAAATGTCATAGTAAGAAGTGCAGTGTGAGAGTTGGGGGGAGGTAACCACTTCACTGGGCGCTTGAGAAGGTTCAGTGAGACACTGGGTGAATGAGAGGCAGGTCATCATGAATGTCCCCATGATGAATACCAGAATGTGACAGTAATTTATAATGCTCCACATTCACTAGATGTCATAAAACATTCAAAGTCTGTCACTTTCTGGAGACATTGAAGACAGGAGCAAAAATCTCCTGAACTCTGTTATCTCCCAAAGCCTAGTAAACAATCTCTTCTTCACTTCGACTCTTTATAGTTTTCTGTAATAAGCACATATAGATCAATATGTGCAGAAAATGAAATAATATTTATAAATTTTAAAGAATAGCTATTATATTTCTAAGCCAATAATTTTTTTCGAGAACACATCGCATTTCCAACTAGGAATTCCAGAAAAATAGTGGTCACACTAGCCACATTGACACAATCCTTCAACTACTGATGAATCAGTCATACATTTTATAAACCATAAGACATCTTCCATTTCCTACACTTTTACTCCGTTTCAATCACATTTTATTGGTGTATTTTAAGATATACATAATGATTACATTCATCATAGAGAATTTGTACCTGCATATGATATAACTGGATTTTTTTCCCCCATTTCCTACCCTACCTTCAACCTCTCTTCTCAAAAGCTTTGTTTACATTTTTCCCTCCTTACGGTGTCCTGGGAGCCCACTGACTTTCCTGGCTCAAGGACCACTGGCCCCCTGCCACCCTCCTGCAGGATGCTGTGCTGGGAGTGTGGAGGGGGTGAGGGTTCCTGGAGCTTGGGAAGTTCCAGCATTTCACACAGGAAGGAAATGGTGGCCGATTATGGCACTTTCTTCCCGACTGAACCCTGAAATGAATTTCTGACACCGCCTTTCCCTTTGTCCTGGGGCCCAAGCCAACTCGCTTGAGTGAAATCCCTGATAAATGTGATTAAACAGCATTTTTGAGGACAGAAGGGAAAACCCCAGCCCGGAGCCAGAGCCTAGCTCCTAGCGGGTCCACCCACGGGGCGTGTTTAGGTCGGAGCCGGGGAATCCCGGGCTCGACTACGCATAAAAGCGCGCGGCGCGGGGAAGCCGCAGTCCAGCCATGGCCGGTGCCGCCCCCAAGACCCTGCGCTTCGCTCCGCTGCTGCTGCTGCTGCTGCTCCTCGTGTTGGGGACCTCCCGGAGAGCCGCAGGTGGGTCACCGAGGACTAGGACGCGGGACATAGGGACCTCAGGACCACGGGGACGGGACCGCCTTCGCCCTCCCCTTCCCATGACGGGTGCGGGACCTCGCTCACCTCCCTGTCCCCCCTGCCCCAGGAGCTCCTGCAGCCTCCGAGCTGCGCTGTCGCTGTCTGCGGCCTGTGCGCGGTCTGCACCCCAAGAACATCCAGAGCGTAGCGGTGACGGCGCCGGGACCCCACTGCCACCAAACCGAAGTCCTGTAAGTCCCGGCTCCCGCTGCCCGGCCAGACCTGGGGACCACGACGCGGGGAAGCCTGACGCAGCCCAGGTGACCCCGCTCACGGCCTCCCTTCCTCCTGCAGGGCCACGCTCAAGGATGGACGCGAAGCCTGTCTAGACCCGGAGGCTCCCATGGTGCAGAAAGTCCTGCAGAGGATGCTGAAAGGGTGCGTGGGGGATCTGTGTGCACGGGGCTGGGGTCAGACCTGCGCCCTGAAATTATAGCGGAGAGCAGGAGTGCAGTGCGGGACCAGGAGCAGGGTTCGTCTTTCAGTAACTAACCTCCCCTCATCTGCCAGCCCAGAGGGCTCTTTGTCATGCGCAAAACACCTCCTGCTCTAAAGACTGCGGTTAAACTGTGGCCCTGAGAGACTGAGAATTGGCTGGTGAGGCTGAAAGTCTGTGTGTTGACATCAGTGCCTCCTGGGTCAAGCCCTGACGGGTGGACCCCCTGTCGTGAGCTGCTGGCTTTAAACTTTGGTGCCAAGTAAGCAGGGACACATTGCCCCAGGGCAGACTGGGTTCATGAGGCTCCTGGGTTACAGGGAGTCCCCAGGCAGTTTGCAAACAACCTAAGCTGCTCTTGGACGGGTTTGATCAGAGGCTGCCCTGCAATGGTGCCTAACAGTTTTTCACCTTGCTGTAATAGCATGGGGCAGTTTGAAGCTAATCTGCAATGTGATTACAAGTCCCCCTTCCTGGCCCACAGCATCAGAAACCTGGTGTGGGTTTTTTTGCCAGGTGCAAGAGTAGGGAATGAGCACATTCAGAAAACCCTAGAGCTGTACAGGACTGAGTGGGAGAAGGCCATGGAGGAGGATTTCTGAGTCCCTGCTAACAGTGGTTATTCTCCTCACAGAAGCAAAGCCACTTGAGTCCCCAGAGGACCGGAAGCCTGCGCCCCTGTTTCTGAGGGGATTTTCAGAAGCATCAAAGGGAAAGAGAGAGGAGATACCACCAGGGATGCCGGGACTGTGCCCAGTGTCTGTGACCACTTCTTATGAGACTTTTTCTTCTATTTATTTCTATATGTATTAATTTATTTTTCCATGCTTTTATATTGTTTAATATTTAAAGATGGGATGGGGTTTGATAGCCCGATATTTTATTGTACCGTTATTTTAAGCATCATTTTCAATGTTAAATGGAAGTTGCTTTAGTCTTGGCTGACTTAGTTTGAAGATGATGGGTGTGAAATGTTTATTCATGAAACTTGTTCAGTGCCACAACAGCCAAGGAGAAGAGAAGCAGAGAATGGGATGCAGAGAAGCAATGAGACAGACGTTAACTGGGGAGTGTGGGCCCACGTGTGTTTATATGACCTTTTAGATGAATGTGACTGTCAGTTGTTATTTATTGCAATACCTTCATGGTATGCAGTCAACATTTCTGATGTTGAAGTCTTGAGAACTTCAATGTTCTAATTATCCCTTGGACATTTTATGTCTTCTTTGTAAGGCACAATGCCTTGTTTAGCCATAACTGTGACCTGTTTCTACACGTTTTGACGGAGAGATATATTTATTGATATGTTTATACAAATAACATGAAAATAAAGCTTTCACAAAAAATCTTGCTTTATGATTTGCTTTATGTCTGGATTCTTCCCAAGTACCCGAGGTATCAGGGAGTTGTAATAGATCTTAGCTTAAGGTCAGTGGCTGCTACCTGCTGGTTCTCCCTTAGTTTCTTTCAATAAAGCATATTTATTTTTTTAAAGTCCATGAATGCCCCAACCTTACAATCCATGTTTTATATAAAATATTATTTTTTGTCTCTATATCCAACCTGCTCTTTATTCTTCAGCTTCAAATGCTTTGAAATTTTAATAAGCATTTAAAAAAGATCTCCCACTTATTTTTCTAAACATCTTTCCAAGCTATCATTTTCCCTCTTAAGAAAGTTAAGTGATAAATTGTAATGAGGTGGATTCCTTCTCAGAATTCAACCTGTGCAATGGTGGAAAGAAAAAAATACCACAAAAAGTGGATAGCACTCATTAAAAGGGGCTTCAGTGCCTCACACTTAGGGAGGGAGCAGTTGCTGAATTTAATAGCTTTCCAATGGTGTTAAATTCTAATTTGAATTATGAGTCTCAAATGACAGGAGAATCAGCTTCCAGGGTAGAAGCAAAGGTTGTCACTCCAGAGTCTTATGGAAAAGAGTCCCCAAGAGTGTGCTTAGGAGGCAAAGTGGCTGACTGGGGCCCTCTCATGCACTCTTAGTTCTGATCCACACTTTGCAGCAGGGCAACTCTGGCTTGAGGCCTGTGCAGGCTTTGCCCAAGTAGCCTTTTCCTAAGTCCACCCTACTCCCTCAGAATGAATGAGACTGACTGAAAAACAGCCTGTAAACTGTACAGCAGCAGCGGCATGCAAACTGTTTTTGGACTCTAGTCCATATGTCAGGCTGTCAGCAATAAAACTCCCTTGGATCTGTCAGTGTTCCTGTGAAAAGTCCTTTCCTTTCACATACCAGAAACGTGGCATCTGTAGCCCTTTGTGTAGTTAATTGCCCTGGCCAGGAAGAAAGTCAAATGTGTCTGCCACCACCCCCCTGTTCTCTAAGGCCTGAAGCTAACATCTGTGTCTAGGTCTCTTGTCCAGACTAAGCTAAGGAGATAGAAAATACCAAAGTGCCACCTCCCTGGATATATGTGTCAAAAAAGATGACACCCAAGAACTTAGAGACAGCTCTAAATCATGAGAGTCCAGACAATCTAGGTCTAGGAGATTTTACTTGTATATCAAAACTTTGTGCTGGGATGCAGGCTGCTGCGTTTCCATGGAGACTCTTTCAGGGGCCAGAGATACTCTTTCCCTTAGAGAACAGGGGGGTGGTGGCAGACACATTTGACTTTCTTTCAGGGGCCAGAGATACTCTTTCCCTTTTTTAAGCAGAGAAAGCATGTTTTTTTTTTCCTCTTTTTTCTTGTCCCGACCAGTGGAGTCTTCTACTGGAATAGGACAGTGTGTGTGGCTTTTGTCCCCTCATCTCAGTGTGAGGCCAGGAAAGCAGGAGGTGGCCTATTCATCCACGGTGAGGTTTTAATAAGAAATCTAGCCTGACCCAGGCTGCCATGTGTGTTCACTCAGGGTAAAAATTTAAATATTAATATAGAGAAACCAATATCCACCTTATTAACTTGGGCATGGAAAGAAGAATGGAAATGGTACAACTGATTCCTTTGATTATTAAACATTTACACCAAGAGCAGCTGGATGCAGGAGGGTTAGATTCCAAGAAAGTATCCTAGAGAGGAAATGGGCCTTAACTCATCCTTGCCCGTGGAGTAGGTACTAGGAACTTACTGAGCTACACTGCAGAAAGAGCGTCCAGTGAGAAGCATAGACCGATTTACTAGGCAATGCATTCAGAAATGTATTGACATGTATTTTGCAAATGTCCTCAAGATGGAAGATGTCAGAAGTACATCCCTGCTGTCTGTACTGGTGGCCCATTGGTGGACTAGGTTAGAATGCAAGCCCTTTGCATGTACTTGCAATTAGGGATATAGTGTTCAATTAAACATTCTTTCTTTGAGGGTAGAGGTCTAGAACGTGCGCATCTGTGCGACCCAGGGAAGCACACAGGCCTAATCCACAGGAAATCTTTGGGGGGAAGTTTACTGAAAGAGAAATCACTGTAACTGTGGATGGCTTTGGTTGTATCCTCAGGTTGCATTTTTTCTTAAAAGCAGAATTATGAAGTTATGATTTTCCTTGTCTCCTTTCAACCTGTATTTACTTCTCCTATTCCACCTCAGGTTGAGTCAATAGTTAAGCAGTGCCCGAGAGGTAATAGTGGCTCTGGAATTTCCAGCACATTGCAGGAGGCGTTTGATTGAAGACAAGTGGGGAGGATAGCACTTTTCTATTGCTGCCTGGGCAAATCAGCACAGATTTAGGGGTTTGGAACAACACAGATGTGTTCTCTCACAATTTTGATGTCCAGAAGACCAAACTCAGCATCCTTGAGCTCAAGTCCAGGTGCGTGAAGGGCTGATTCCATGTGGAAACCCAGGGAGAACCTATTTCCCTAATACATCCAGCATCCACAGGATGCCTCTAACGCTGCATCTCCAAGGCCAGCAGCACAGCTCCCGTGAGTGTCCCTTTCTATCATCTTCCTGCCAGGTGGCTCCTCCTACATCTCTCTCATGAGAACTTTGCCATTATATCAAGCCCATCTGAGTTATACAGGGATAATCTTCCCATCTCTACACCCTTTATGCAATCAGTTATGCAGAATCCCCTTTGTAATGTAATCTATTCACAGGTTCTAGGGATTTGGATGAGGACATCTTCATAGGCCAGTGTTAAGCCTCCCACAGCAGTTTTCACTAGGCTAAAACTCTGCACTTGCGAACAGCAAAAGGGAAGTTTGAGGTGGGAGAAATTAAAGCACTATCAGCACTGGCTAATGCCCGATCAATGCAGTTATTATTAATGTTTTTAAAGACACATAGACTTAGGTGTTTCCTTCAGACTGGTTATTTTCTCAAGGCAAAGCAAATCAAATAACAACAAAACATATATAGTATTATATTGTATATTATATGACTGGTAGAAAGGCCTAGAAAACTGGAAGAGGAAGAAAAAGCAGGGCGGAATGGAATACTCGGACAGGTTCCCCAGTAAACAAATGTTCTCTGCATTCAAAGAACAGTCTCAGAACAGTGTTACTCAATGTGACCACATGACTCAGCGAAGCCACCAGGAAACTGCAAGGGAAGCAGTGCCTGGGGTTTCCTGGGCAAGAATCCAGAATAGAAATGATAGATGTCTTTATTATGTGGTTATGACTTCCCGTGAGTTCTCCTGAGATATCTGCTAGAGAGGTCCAGAAACTGGCAGAATGCAAAAGAGAGGAGAAAGAGAAGTTTTGCCATCATGGCATGAAGCAGTGTTGTCCCTGCTGGAACCTAAAAATCACACAGAATGTGTTTGCCCTAAAGCACAGCCTGAGGCAAAGGCTGTATTTTCCTATGTCTACCAGCCCACCCTGGACTTCAACTTTCTGCATGGAGAGTGCCCGATTGGGACATCTGCCTTAAAAGTGACAGTGAAAAGTGACTGAAGTCCAGCCCTAACTTTCCACTGTCTTCTAAAAGGAAATGAGATGACCTGGGGCATCATGAAGAGATCAGATGTACCAGGACCACGAGAGCAAGTTAGGTTTCGTCCACTGTATGGGTCACAGAACAGAGAGAAGTCCACAGGATCACCTGGCTTGTAGAAGAGAATCTAGGTGCCTCTTCTTGAATGCAGAACAATCTCTGCAATGTTAGTTAGGTCCAGTCTTGTACTTTCCATATACTGATAAGCACAGAGCAGGTTGTGGACCCCTAACGTGGACGGACAAGCCACCAGCATTTTCTGTTCTATAGAAACCAAAATTCCTACATATTCTACTCTGACAGGCCTTCGTACATTTATGCATTTGCAAGAACAATCCAAACTAAATATTACCTCTCACTTTGTAAATCCTCCTTTATATGTAGTCCGCCTACACAAGATTCTAACCCATGTGTGTCAGCTGTAGATCAGACCTAAAAATACAACTATCTAAGGGCCAATTCGCCTTATCGACCTTAACTGCTATTCCTTTAGATAATAACATTACTGGAGATTTTAAAACTAAAATTCTTATCTATGTCTCAGAAGGTCACGCCCCTCATTTCTAAGAATGTGATTTGGGCCCTGGTCAGTCTTGCAGAGACCAACACTATGGATGAGTTACATGCAAGTTTAATTGGTCTTTCATAGATTGGTCCCCAGAGGATTCCTTATGGGAAAAGATTGAAATTGCCATGAGATTTCCTGTTCAGGCTTTCTCGACAACACAGTGACCTTGGAAGCCTTGTCTAATATCACATAGTCAGGTAGAGACCTCAATTTTCCTATTCCTAGCATTATTAACAGTGATAGCCTGGACCCATATAGCATACTTTATAGAATTTAGCCCTGCTTTTTCATGCTGGGCAGCTTCAGACTGGGCATCTGCCGCCAATGACTAGAGGAATGTCAACATAGTATTACAAAATCACAGGTGTATAAGAATAAACATATGTGTTTATGATCCTCATGTGCCATTAATAGGAAAGATAGAATGGCAACAAAATACATTCTCATGTACTGATTTTATCTAACCATTGTA